GCAGGTGGGAGGTCACAGCAGCCTCTGGCGAGGGAGAAAGGCGTCTGTCACCTCCTGCGATCTTCACCAACCCTTCTCCTAAGGGCTCAGGGTTGTCTGGCAGCACTGGGAGACTCCGGCTGTCTCGTGCGACGTGCCGGAGCACCACTGAGCAGCACTGGCCTCCCCACCTCCTCGCAGCTCCTCTGCAGGCCCCGGGGGACCCTGCTGCTCTGCAGAGCACTCTGTCTCTCCCACCCCTTTTCCTCTCCCGGGCCTGCGGTGACCCTCGCATGCCAGCCCAGTCCCCCCTCTCTCCCGCACGACTCCAACCAGCCTTGGCCCCGCGTGAGGAAGCGTCAGCAGGAGGGACCTGCTGCCTGCGCTGGCCCTGATCCTGTGCTCTGTGACAGCCTCCCTTGCGGAGAGGGAGGGCAAAAGCTCACCCAGCGGGAAGGGACTGCAAGGGTGGGACGCGAGAAGGTTGGTGTCCTCTCCAAGCTGGCAAGTTCTGATTCAAAGCTTCTACCTGTCAGCTGCAGGAACAGAAGCAAGGGGCTGGTAGTGCTTATTGAAGCACTATTGCAGAGCAGATGAGCCACTGGCTGTGAGCCCTCTCTGTGCCCAGGACTGCTGCCACAGGGCCCAACCTAGTATTCCTGAAGGTAACACATGCAAATGTGCCACTATTTCTGTGCAAGAGCCTTTATTGTCAAGGTGTCCGGTGTGTCAGGGACTGTCTCTTAGAAAGGATCCTTCATGTTGCTTTTAGCAGAGGGTCCCTTCTCTCCCTCCCTCTGTTCCTCAGAGGCAGGCCTACATGAGGAACCTGGAGAGATCCTCCTTGATCTCGGCCTCATCCCATGGGCCGTGAATATTGTCCTTGAACAGCTGAAGCCGAATGAGACAGTAGGGACAGAGACAGGAGATGCAGAGCAGCAGCAAGGCGAAGAGAACGGCGCCCACGCTGGAAATGCTCACCAGTCCTGCCAGCGCTGCCAGCGCAAAGAGCACGGTGACCGCCACGTAGCACCGGGGCGTCTGGGCTTTCAGCTTCTTCTGCAGCATGGGCCAGAGGGCGAAGATCTGCATGGCGAAGGTGACGGTAACGAAGGCGTGGAGGGAGCGCGGCAGGCGGGATGCCAAGCACACAGAGGCAAAGATGGCCATGTTGAGGGACAGCGTGCTGGATACAATGGCAGCATTAGCGCCGTAGTCGAAGAAGATGAGGTGGCCCAGGAGCATGAAGGCTGACATGGCGTAGATGGTGTCTGTGCTGATTGATTCTGTCAGTGTCTTAAGCACCGGTGAAAAGCCGTAGGTGAAGGCAATGAATACTACCGTGCTCTTCAGGTCTGCCCACCACGTCCGCCCGCTCTTCTGCCTCCCGTCCCCAGCGTCAATAACGTGGAACAGGATGTAGCCAAGCAGGGAAGAGACCAGGCCTGCTCCGAAGAGCTCTTGTGGGCTCAGCATCCCGGCGTCCATGTACCACCAGGTAACGACGAATACGCAGACGCTGCACAGCTGCTGCGCCACTGCCCCCGACTCGAAGACCACAGCCCAGTACTGGTACTGGCGGGCATGGATGTTCTTCCGTAGCTCCTCCAGGAACCGCTGGTCCACATAGTTATCCGGGAAGGGCTGGCGCTCATAGAGCACCTTCTGCCAGCGCCTCCTGGGGCTCGTCTCCACCTGGGCCATTCTTCAACCCGAGTTGGGTCCAACCGCCTCTGCGTGCGCCGGGGAGTTCTGCGGGCGTGAGACAGGGCTCCTGGGGACACCCCACACGGTGACTTCCTCAGGTCCTGCTCCTCCTCCAGCTCGTGCCCCCTCCAGAAAGCAACCCGCAGCGCTGCGCTCCTGAGCAGGGCACAGTACTAGGTTAACCCGTGCTGGGAGGCGCAGGGAAGGGCCCCGTCCGCAGCTTCCCCGTTCCTGAGGCCTAACGGGGAGCAGGAGGCTTTAGAGGCAGCACCCCTGGGAAAGGGCAGCTCTTGAGGCCCTGGGGCAGCCCGTCTGCACCACGAGCAGCGAAACCCCGGGTGCACGGCCGGGCACTCCCGTCCCCCTTTTCAGCACCGCGGCCCCTTTTTAGCCCCGCGATTCCCCAGCCCCGGGAGCCGGGGTGGGTGTTTGGACGCTACAGGCAAAGCGCAGGGCCCGGCCCCGCGCGGC